AAAATGGTTTGGGAAGGAATGGCTAGCTGGGATTGCACGATTCGTGGAAAAATTACATTTTATTATGGCAACTGAAACAGCTCTGCCTATTCACAATACAGTAATATAATCTAGCAAAGATTTCACTGCACACACACATACACCCCTCAATCTCATTGGCATTTTGCATATTTTTTAAAAACTCTCAACCAAAATCAAAAAGAAAAATCCAACTTTCTTTTAAAAAGTTAGATTCAGACACCAATATAGGATATGTTAATATGAATAAAAATACAATGTATAGAACAGCTATACCTTTTTTGGCAATGCAATATGATAAAACCTCACTCAAATGTTTTGGCACTCAAAAACATTGGGATTATTCTTATACAGTATTTTAAAAGTCACATTTTAAAATGTAAATGATGCATACCCGCCACACGACTGCGCTTTCATACACTAAAGTATTGAATGCTGATTGCCATTGCCAATACTTGAACAATGTCCACAGGCCTGGTTTCTGCTTGTGCTGTAGAGGGAAATGAGGGGCAGGTGGGGCTTGTCAACTGGGGAATGTAGCCCATCTAGGAGAAGAAAGACTCTAATCTAAACCTTATGGAACACCTTCGAGAGAAGAAAAAGCTAAGGAGTAAGCCCCACACAAATCCAGAGTGGAGTCGCCTTGTACACATCCTTCCAGCAACTCCTGAAGCCAAGATGGTGACAAACATCTTGCCCTGCTTTCCTTTGGACCACACCAGCAAGGCCGAGAGTGGGGTCTTGTCATCTGGGCAGTCCAGGATCTCCATGCACACTACCCAGGCTTGCACCCTGTGGAGGTCACTTTGGTGCTGCCCGCGCAGCATTTTGAGTTCACCCCCAGAAATGCACTCCATTGTCTCTTGAGACAGGCGGATGTCAACAAGTAATAGTGGAAAGGTTCTCTCAAGAAGTGTTAGCCTTTTAGTTGTATCTTACTTTAATGCACTGTCACATGTCTTAGGAAGGGAACAAATGTAAAGGCTGGAATTAAAACGAAATTAAATAAATATGTTTTCAGACTTTTAAATTTCAGTACCAACATGTAAATGGTGATACTGTATATAACTTTTCTAACTGTTATTTAATGCCAGCTTCCTTGACCATCAACTTTGTGACACACTTTTCTTTTCATTTGGCATTACAAACAGGGGAAACAGCTTTTCTTGTGAACTAATGCCTTGTTATACATAGCAAGATAAAACATCAAAAAGCAAGGGATTTCACATGGGAACAGAAGTTAAACAATTGAGGGTTGTTTTGTTTTTTTGGCAGCGAGGTAAAGCTAAACCTGCTTAATTTATCCATGGCAAGGAACGATCAAAGACTTGGGGCAGTAAAATGAGTTAGCCGTCTTAAGTACATTCAGAAACAGGTGCCATAATTAATGAGGGACACTTTTTTCCCCCAGTTCACCTATAGTTCTAAGTGAATCACTCTTGTCATAAGCCAGGACTAGTGGAACCTCAGACCCAGAAGTCAAATGCAGATTTCTGAATCTGGCCCTAGGCCATGTTCCCCTCAAGCCACACTACTCACCACAGCCTCCTCAAATGCTTTTGCACAATTAAGACCACATCTACACCACTACAGTGGTACCTCAGGTTACAGACACTTCAGGTTACAGATGCTTCAGCTTACAGACTCCGCTATCCTAGAAATAGTACCTTGGGTTAAGAACTTTGCTTCAGGATGAGAACAGAAGTGGCGCGGTGACAGCAGTGGAAGGCCCCATTAGCTAAAGTGGTACCTCAGGGTAAGAACAGTTTCAGGTAAAGAACGGACCTCCAGAATGAATTAAGTTCTTAACCCGAGGTACCATTGTATTATAACCAGTTTAAACAATCATGGCTTCTTCCAAAGAATTCTGGGAGCTGTAGTCTTTAAATGTGCTGAGAGTAGTTAGGAAACCTCTCTTCCCTTCACAGAGATACAGTTCCCTGGGAAGATTGATTGATTGATTGATTGATTGATTGATTGATTGATTGTTAAACCACTTTAGGAATTGTGAGAGAGATGGGAGGGCTGTCTCCCAACAACTCTCAGCACCGTTAACAACCCACAGTTCCCAGAATTCTTTGGGGGAAGCTGTAAGTGCTTAAATGGTATGATATTACTTTAAGTATTTAGTAAGGGTGGGGGGCTAATCATACCCTCAAACATGTTGAGGTGAAAAAACTGGGATGCACGTCTTCCGGGGCAGTGCTCCTACACAAGTCACGTGAGCTGTGTGGGATTGCAGCCCCCCAAAAGCATCCCCCCCAAATGAGATTGTGACATGAGATTGCACTGCCCAAAATGGGCACCATGCTCTCCTGTGAAAAAGCAGGGTGTCCTGGTTTTATCAGGACTGTTGAGATGTATAGGTTAAGTGCATTCAACTCCTTGCTTTGAAAGAGAAATAGCTGTTTGACCTGTGTTGATAACGCTGCAGTTCAGGAGTCCTCCTATCCCCAATGAGAAATAACACTTCTGGGTTTCTAGCAAGCCATTATTTGCTTTAAAATGGTCCTACAGACCACTCAACAGTTAGAGAAGTTTGAAATTTAATGATGGGAAAGAATGCTTTGTCACAATAGCACTAGCCTCTCAGAAGCTACACATATTACTCTGGACTGAGACATTGAAGAATTATGATAGCTGTGGATTCATCTCTGAAATTAGCTTCCCCCAACCCTGAGTTAAAATTGGAGGCATGCTTCATTCTTATACCTGAAAATGTTTATTTTGCACAGCCTTTCCCAACCTGGTGTCCTCTGGCAGGGCTAGCCCAAAACATTTTAGCACCTGAGGCAAGCCACAAAAGGAAGAAGAGGGGAATGAAGATCACCACCAGGAACAAAGAGAAAATAAAGAGCTCCTATCAGAATCTCCTCCTCCTTTGGATCCTGCTGCCTGAGGCGGTCACCACACCTTCTCTAAGGGGTGGGTTGGCCCTGCCTCCAGATGCTGTTGGACTACATTTCCCACCAGTGGACATCATACTGGGGCTGAGGGGAGTTTTAGTCCAGAATTTTCTGGAGGGCACCGAAGCAGGGAAAGGCTAGTTTGGAGACTGGGTAAGAATTTTAGCCAGTCTTTCTGGTGCCCTTCAGTGTGAATTACTGCTCCAGATATGCTTCCCAACTGGAAAGGACCAAGACCAGAGCAATGGGTGTAGAGAGCAGCTTCCCCTTCAGAAAGGCACCTTGAGCTCTAGAAAAGTTTCAGTAAATTAAAAAGAGCACTGTCAGATCAGACCAAAGGTGTCCCAGTCTAGCATCCAGTTTGCCACAATGGGGTTAGTATTGCTGCTTTAATGTATTTATCATGGCAGTTCAAGTCTGGGAACCGCTGTTTTTTGTTGTTTTTTCAGACTCAACCAGCACACACACCAACACCCCCCCCCATACACTAAACATAATGTTTCATTTTAAAGTACAGGTAACCTCTTAAATCCATATCTTCCTCCCTGCCATGAGACTCGGCACACACTGGGATGTCTATTGAGGACTGCACTGAATTTGTGCAAATTATTTAAATGCTCTCTTTCCTCCTTCTAGGATCTAGGATCTACACAACACTGGAGAGCCAGTGTGGTGTAGGGGTTAAGAGCGATAGACTCGTAATCTGGGGAACTGGGTTCGATTCCCCACTCCTCCACCTGCAGCTGCTGGGTGACCTTGGGCTAGTCACTCTTCTCTGAAGCCTCTCAGCCCCGCTCACCTCACAGAGTGTTTGTTGTGGGGGAGGAAGGGAAAGGAGAATGTTAACCGCTTTGAGACTCCTTTGGGTAGTGATAAAGCGGGATATCAAATCCAAACTCCTCCTCCTCTTCTTCTAAAAGTTCTGCAGCTATTACTACAAATTGCATTTTTTTGATTACAAAAACCTCAACTGCCAAGGGACTCAGACAGGAAAGGATAGAGTTGCTCCCCCTGTGTACACCTGACCACTTTTGGCATTAATCAAAGAACTAGCTGGCCACTGTAGCATCTGTAAATCAATCTGTGCATAAGTCATTACTATGGGGAACTCCATAAGGGCTTCACTGTTTTGTGTGTGAACAGCTCCTGGTGCTGAAAAAGAGAAAGACACACACCGTACTTTCCTGCTAAAACTAGTGGAATATTCCAACCAAACCACTGGGGCACGTCATTCTTCCTTTTTCTTTGCAGAGAGATCTGACAGTGTCAACTATCTGCTGAGCCCTTGCTCTGATTTGTCTGTGAGGAGTTTAGATGATGTTGCGCCCAGGCAAGTGCTATCCTGTGCTTCCACAGTGCATGTTCCCATTAGTTAGGTAAAGGGACCCCTGACCATTAGGTCCAGTCGTGACCGACTCTGGGGTTGCGGTGCTCATCTCACTTTACTGGCCGAGGGAGCCGGTGTACAGCTTCCGGGTCATGTGGCCAGCATGACTAAGCCGCTTCTGGCGAACCAGAGCAGCGCACGGAAACGCCGTTTACCTTCCCGCCGGAGCGGTCCCTATTTATCTACTTGCACTTTGATGTGCTTTTGTACTGCTAGGTTGGCAGGAGCAGGGACCGAGCAACGGGAGCTCACCTGTCACTGGGATTCGAACCACTCACCTTGTGATCGGCAAGTCCTAGGCTCTGTGGTTTAGACCGCAGCGCCACCCGCATCCATTAGTTACCGCATCTCAAAAAGTCTGAGCTTCTGGGCAGCAGTGGTTGGTGCCTATTAGGACTGGGTGGGTGGGTGGAAGGCAGAGATGGCAGTGGTAGATGGAAACAGGCAGAGCCAACTAATGCCAGTCCTGCCCCCATCCTCTTCTCTGCAGAGTTATTGGGCTGCAATACTGAAATTAAGCAGGAGGAAGCTGGCAAGCAGTCTGTCTCCTGGACTGGTTGTGTAAGTCAGAAGGCAGGCAAAAGAAGCTGTCGCACACTGCGTCAGATCATTGGCCCACAGTATTGTCTACTCTGACTGGCAGCAGAAGTTCTCCGGGGCTTCAGACAGCAGGCCTCTCCAGTCATACGTGGCGATGCTGGGGGTTGAATCTGGGGCTTTCTGCATACAAAGCAGATACTCTGCCACTGAGCTATGGCTTTTCCTGTAGGTGGAGCTCTGGCTGAAGGCCGACTGAGGTTGGTGGGGCAACACCCTGGAAGCCGTAGGTGATTGAATCTCAGCCCCAAACAGTCTGGAAGTGCTTCCACTCATAAGAGCAACCTCTGAGATCCAAGGTTAATCTACATAGGAGAATGTAGGAGATTTCCACACCCCAAAGTCACACAATTGTTCTGTTTCATCCAGGGAAGTCTACTTTGACTAGGAATGCTTCTCTACAATCCCAGATGCAGAAGGAGCTGGGTGTGCTGGTCCCATGGGTTACCCGAGAGGTGAGGTCCAAGACTGGTCTGTGGTCAAAGGTGCAACATGGAGGCAGTCCATAGTAGCTGAAGCTGGGTGCAGGGCAGGGAATCGGGTGAAGTCAGGAACAGGCATGCAAGCAGGGAGCCAGGGTGGGTCCAGAGCTCAGGCAGGAAAGGAGGACAGGGTTCAGGCAGGAACTAGCAACCAACAATGTTGCTCTCACGACTTGGGACTGGGGCTGGCCGGCTTTTATCTGCCCCGAGGCATAGGGCGGCCCTGATCCTCTAGTGACTCGCCTCTCCTGGCCTGGAGGCGAGCACTCCTCCTGCAGGAACTTAGTTCCCTCCGCCTCTCTGCCCTGAGCCTCTGCAGCTCAGGAGAGGCTGAAGGGTTACTGGACCCAGAGGCAACCTCAGCTTCCTCTGATGGGGCTGAGAGTGGAGCACCTGCAGGCAATGGGTCCTCCATCACCTCAGGAGCCAGAGCAGACTCAGCTGATGCCTGCACCTGAGGATCGAGCACAGGTGAAGACCCTTCAGGCTCATGCCCCATTCTGGAGGTGGGGAATCCTGTGCAGGCTGGGATCCCTCAGGTTCAGCCTCCAAGTCCAAATCCCAGGCCATCACATTGGGTTTGGACCCAAGAACCATCTGCATGCAAAGTGTGGAACAGGGAGGAGTGTCATTATTGCTTTTGCCTCTTGATCTCTTGTTGGATTTTGATACCATCGTCCATGATATCCTCCTGTACTGGCTTTGGGGAATGGGAATTGAGGAAACTGTGTGTTATAGTACTTCTGCTTCCTTCAGGAGCAAGTCCAGAGAGTGGCTTTGGGAAAGTTATGTATCTTGTCCCCCATGCTATTTAATATCTATAGGAAGTCACTGAGAGCAGTCATTAGGGGGCGAGGTGCCATCAGTATGCTGATTATGCTCTATTTCTTCTCAATCAGGGGAGGCTGTGCAATCCCTGAATCAGTGTTTGGATGTAGTGGTGAGGCAGACGTGGAAGAACAAGCTGAGCTTGAATCCTGGCAAGAGGAAGGTGCTGTGTCCAAGAAATTCCTCTGTCCAAGAAATTGGTCAGTTGTGTATTATTATTATTATTATTATTATTATTTATTAAATTAGTATAACACCCTTCATCTGCAGATCTCAGGGCGGCTCACAACATTAAATTACAATATTAAAAAACAGCACAAAATGCAAAATAAAAATAAGAACCAAAACAAACCAATAACTTTCTACCACACTCAGCTTAAAAGGCCATAGATTGTTTAATTAGCCAAAGGCCTGGGAGAAGAGGAATGTTTTCGCCTGGAGCCTAAAGATATGTGACAAAGGTGCCAGGCGAGTCTCTCTCAGGAGAGCATTCCACAAATGGGGAGCCACTGCAGAGAAGGCCCCGTTCTCGTGTTGCCACCCTCTAGACCTCTCGTGGAGGAGGCACACAGAAAAGGGCCTCGGAGGATGATCTCAGGGTCCAGGTAGGTTCATATGGAGAGAGGTGGTCCTTGAGGTAATGCAGACCTGAGTACCCTGGTTGGGGTAGCTGTACTCACTGTGTACTCTTTTTCAATGCCTACTTAAAACATCTTTGCTTAGGAAAGCCTATCCATACATGTAGAATGTTCTGTTCTCGTTTGTAGCTTATCATTGATTGCAATTGTTTTTGGATATTTTTAAAAAGTTGGCTTTATTATTTTATTCATTTTGTAAACTGCTTTTAGGCTTCATTAAAATCAAGCAGTATATAAATTTTGTAAAATGAAACAGATGAAGTGTGATGCCTCATTCCTGAGTTACAGCCCTTACCCCAATTTACAGACTTTATGTTATATATATATCTCCTCATAATAAATGAGCCTGTTTTTCTCAGACACCATACTGCACACCAAAATTCTTTTATAGAAAGAAAGAAAGAAACTCAAACTAGGGTGAGTTTCAAAAGCACTCTGTTATACGATACATGGAGGGTTCAGCTGCTGAAAGTAAAATTAAAAATAAATCCCGCCAGGCTTGCGTGGGACGACATAAACCTTTGGATCCCAACCAGAGCTGGTAATGAGTTCCCACAATGACCTGTTCCTTCCAAAGTTGATTAAACTGTTTAAAGAGGGGGGGGGGAACCCCTTCAGATCTTTCTTATACATGGGACTGAACACTCTGGTGAAATGTAATACTTCTCAAGAAACAAACACTTTCCGAAATGTGTGAAGTGATGTTTAAGAGAGCCAGCTGGATAGGTATGTCACTGCTTTATGTAGCATCTTTGAGTGCCAGAAAATGGCTCCCCCCCCCCCATTTTAACATATCCAATGACTTCTATATAAGATCTGCAAGGGGAGATCTGCAACAAAATGTTGGTGTTTGAAGCACTCCTGTTTGTATTTCCAGGTGCCCCATTCCATCCTGCAACTGGTTTTCCATTCCTGCCCCTCCCCCCCCAAAAAACCCTGTCAGCATTTTGAGTGTATGCTCAACCTCAATAGGCAATTTTCACTGTCTCCTCCTCTTCTAGGGATTCTCCACCCACTCCCCAAAAAATATCTATACTTTCTGTGCTTCTGCAAACCTTTGGTATTCTCCCCTCATGTTTAAGGGGGTGCTGCCATTTTGGATACATGGATGTGGACACTTACCACTGAACATCAGAAGTAGAAGGAAATAACAGTGGCGGCTGTCCCATTAGGGCACTGCCCCACCAGTGTCAGTCTGCCCTCATCCAGTCTCCAGCTGTTCTTGAGGCCGACCCTTTCAGTTCTACATGGATTATTTCCCTTCGCTTAATACAGGGATGGGAAATCTGTGGCCCTCTGAATGTGGTTGGACTCTTAAGTCCCATCAGCTTGCAGGTTCACCACTGCTGTGGGAAGAGTGTTTATGGATGAAAGGCTTTTATCAGTCACATTTTCTTACCTTTGCAGCAAAAAGCAATTGCTATGCTGAAATCATAACTAGATCTTTCCTGATTTGAGCTCTTAATGAAGAAACAGCATAATTAAAATAAAATGAGTCTCTGGGGTCAGCATTTACTTCCTTCCCAGACGTAGATCAAATGGGGGGGGGGATTCTCACATGCACACTTTTTTTTCCTTTTACTTTTTTCAAGGTTAGTTTATTGGATGGCACAGTCTTAACTTGTTGAATTCTAAAAGTAACTTGCTGTTAGTTGGCCAAATCTGGCTTATTTGTGGGTTTGGGCAGGGGGAAAGGTGGTGAGATTTCTTTAATTCTCAAACATATAGGCTGCCCTTCACCAAATGCTGCAAGAGCACATTACAAAAAAAATAATAATTAAAAATAAGTGCAGATTACGTCAAAGTCGTGCAATTAAACTACAGAATAACAGGATAGCAACACACAGTAATGCAGCAGAAAGGAAGATATCTAGTCAAACAAAGGCCTGGATAAAGAGGTGCATCTTCACCAATTGTCAGAAGCAATATGCACTTCAGGTGTTAGGTTATTCCAGAACCTGGGGGCCACCACAAAGAAGGCCCTCCCATGTACTGCCACCTGCACGAGCCATGGAGGGTTTCCTTGCTGATCTTCACACCCAGGCAGATCAATGTGGGGAAAGGCGCTCCCTCAGATATTTTGGGTCAAAGACATTTAGATCTTTATATGACAACCTTAAATTGGCAATCAGTGCAGATCTTTCAAGACCAGCACAAGTGCCTGGCCAGAGATACCCTCCATACTAGTTGCAATTTCTGAACTCCTTCTGCAAAGCCAGCACCACACAGAGCAAATTGGAATAGACTGATCTGGAAGTTGCTAGAGTGTGGAGCTCTGTGGTTGAGCCGTTCCTTTTCAGGAGGGGCCGCAGATAGCAAAGCAACTACAGCTGGAATAATGTAGTCATAGCCAAGGCTACATGGGCCTCAAACAACATATATGGATCAAGGAGTACGCCAAGCTATGCACCTGCTCCTTCTAGAGGAGTGCAACCCTGTCCAGAACTGGTCATTTCCCTATTTCCCAAAGTTGAGAGTCTGCAATCCACAGTACCTCCATCTTGCCTGGGTTCAGTTTCAATTTATTGGTCTGTATCCAGCCCATTTCCGCCTACAGGAAACAGTGAAACAACTTAATTGCCTTTCCTGATTCAGATGCAGCAGAGAGATAGGACTCGGTGTCATCACTTTAATCCAACTTCCCCTGACAACATCTCCTAGTAACTTCATCTATGGGGGGGACGACAAGACTAACCCCCCAAGGAACCCCACAATTTAGCTCCCAAGGGGCCAAGCAGCAGTCCCACATTCCTACTCTCTGAAATCCACCTCAGAAGCAGAACCACTGTAGCACAGTTCCCCTAACTTCCAACATTCAGAGCCACTTCAAAAGGATACTGTGGTATCAAAAGCCACTGAGAGGTCAAGGAAAACCAGCAAACTGCACTTCCCCAACAGACCAGGGTGACCAAGGGAGTTTTCAGTGCCATATCCAGGCTTGAAGCAAGATTGAAAGGTGTCCAGGTACCCACTTTGCATTTAGTTTGGAAGAAGAGGGACAGAGGGAAGGTGATTCTCCCCCCACCCCCAAAAAGTCACAGGAAATTCTGTCAGCCATTGGGAAAAGATGAGCAGGAGGAGGGATGGAAGTGGGATAGCATAAAACAGTAACTGGAAACATTTTGCAAGTGCAGCTAGACTGTTAAATTCCTAATGGTTTCCGAATCCTAGCTAGAAATGTCCTTTACACTGTATTAAGTAGCATCACAGCTGCAGACCATCCTTTCCCTTTCCCTTCTTCTTTTTTGGCACAGCAATCTAGAAGTACAAAGGGCTCCCAATTAAATTAAATGGGAAACAAGAAGGAAGATTATCAGTCTTTTTTTTTTAAAAAAAAAAAAAACCATGCTGGAATGCAGGTTGTTGTTGTTGTCAACTTTGTCTCAGCTGCTTTATCTGGTCACACTTTATCTTCATGCGCTAAAAAAAAAGCTTCAGTCACGGATATCTGCAGCTTTCCCAGGCTGCTGTAAAAGGCAGAAAAAAGACTAGAACACCCCCCCTCCCCGTTAGTGGGTACTCCTCGAGGTGGTATGTACAAAGACACACACACACACACACACACACCATGTTTTAGCCCACAGGTGCTTATTCTTCAATAGTGTCAATATTTCTTGTTGCAGGGTCTACATGGACATCTGTTCCAAGCAAAGAAATGGGCCTAGAATTGTGTTCCCAAAGCATAAAGAAATATAAAAGCAAGAGAGGGAAAAGTTTGCACTTTTACTAGTTTGCACTTTGATCAACAACATGATCAGAGTTATTAGTAACAGCATAAATGCTCTTAAAACACCATGCCCCCCATTTACCCTTGAACATGTCCCAAAACTGAGAATGTTTTCCCTCTGCAAAGCTGAGTAACAAAAAGCAAAGGAGAGCATGCAGTACCTTTCCAAGTTGAAAGGAGAGAGAGCTCACCTGTTGTCTGGTAGCTAATTATATGGTGGTGATCTGATCCTAAACATCTTCAGCCTTGCAGCTATACTCATTTGTGAGAAAGGCTTCAGGGATGAACCCTGGGGAACAATCCGTACCCACTGGCTTGCAAGGTATCTTTGGGAGAAGCAGCAGTTACGGAGTACACCCTACACTAAGACGCATTGTACGCCTCCTTCTGGAAACTCCTGCAGCCAAGCTGATGCCAAACATATTGTTCTGCTTTCCTTTGGACCGAAACAGTGAGGCTGGGGGCAGGGGTGTCTTGTCATCTACAGCGCCCATAATTTTGGAGCAGTGACTGGAGTTGTAGTCTGATGTCATCTGGGGTCCCTAGAGTTGAAAAGCACTGCTTACTCTAAACATATTGGTAATTTCAAACCTTAGAAATAAGGTTATATGGATGGTGCATTTTTTTTTTAAAAAAAGAAAGAAGCAAAATTCTGCATGCTGAGAGCCAAATTCATCATGCAAACAACTTTATTATTCAATCTGCTCCCAACACGGTCTAGCTATCCAATCTTCCAAGTCATGTTTTTTTACAAGATGAAAGAACTGTAGTTGAGCAACTGAAGAATTGGCCACCTCTCCAGCAACCATCACCTGGGGGCAGCTGTTCCATCAAACTGTCTCAGTGGGAGAGATAGGAAGCAAGGCTCATTCCATCTGCTTTGCCAAAGGAGTAGCTCCATTGGGTACCTCCTGCCCCTTAACCGTGCCAGCTATTCATTAAAAGAAAAACTGTTTAAGAAAAGGTGCCTGAGTTTTGATTTCCACCCCCTCCATTCCCAGCCTGTTTTTTCCCCCTTGTGTGACTTGTTTGCTAGTGTGTTGTTTTTTTAAGCTTTGTTTTAATTGATTAGAATCATAGAATCATAGAATCATAGAGTTGGAAGAGACCACAAGGGCCATCGAGTCCAACCCCCTGCCAAGCAGGAAACACCATCAGAGCACTCCTGACATATGGTTGTCACTCTGCTTAAAGACCTCCAAAGAAGGAGACTCCACCACACTCCTTGGCAGCAAATTCCACTGTCGAACAGCTCTTACTGTCAGGAAGTTCTTCCTAATGTTTAGGTGGAATCTTCTTTCTTGTAGTTTGGATCCATTGCTCCGTGTCCGCTTCTCTGGAGCAGCAGAAAACAACCTTTCTCCCTCCTCTAGGTGACATCCTTTTATATATTTGAACATGGCTATCATATCACCCCTTAACCTCCTCTGGAAACCATTCTGGGAGACTTTGAGGAGAAGGGTACAAGTGCCCTCAACAAATAAGATGAAGCTTTTGTGCCTCTGCAGGATGTTTTAAATATGTCTTTATTTTAAATTGCATTGTTTTGAGGGGGAGATAGAAATTTAATAAATAAATAATGATAAATTGTTGTTATTTTCCCTGTCTCCCCACCCACCAGCATTCTTCAGTGTTTTGTATGTAGCTTTCAACTTTGCAGATCTTAAAAGTTTTTGTATACAATTGAGGTCATTATCAGGATTAACGTAAAACAAGCAGTCTTCTATGTTATTCCATTTATTAGTTACTCCCTACTTTTTCTTTAACAAAGTAGGGAGTAACTAATAAATGGAAAAACATAGGAAATGCAATATTATAAAATTATAAGAAACCACAGAAGGGGTGGAGGGAATGTGTCCATTCGAAAGTTATTCAATTTGTATGTATGTAAAAAAATCTCTAAAACTGAAAAATAAAATTTATATATTAAAAAATAAACTTGGTAGACCAAGGCTTTGGCTAAATACATATGTACCCAAAGAAGATGAAGTTTTTGCTAGTTTTTCCTGCTTCTGTATTTGTTTGTTGAAAGCATTCCTCTGGTGCCCACAGATATTTGGCATGAGTGGAAGATCAGATGACAAAAGGTCAAAAATTAAATGGGCTCCTTATGCGATGCTCAGCGGTTATGTAAATGGGATGGGATGGGCAGCCACCCCAAATAAAATGTTAGCTAGGGAGACACATAACACTGATGCCTCTTAACACAAAGCAACTCCAGTGACCACAAGGAACTTCCCCCACTCTTCGCATTGCGCATGTAAAATTAAATAAACACAAACTCAGTTCAATAGCAACAAAAAACCAAGTGTCCTTTCTCAGATGACATCTTTTTTTAAATGTACATACACTGTGTATTTTTAAAGGGGGGGCACAAAATAAATGCTTACAATAAGCTCACAAAGGAAGTCAAAGGTCCATCAATCTTTATTGTTGCTTAGACATCACAGTGAACAATTGATGCAAAGGAATTATATGCCCTTGGCATAGCGCATGCAGACATTTTAACTACAATTTCCATAAGGCACATCTGATTGACACTACATAATCCATCATGCTGCATCAGAACAATGAGGTGTATGAACTCGCCACCATAAGCTCACTTCCTTGAGAATAAGACCTGCTGAACTCAGTAGAATGGGACTATAGCTCAGTGGCACTGACAGAGGATATGCTTTGTATGCAGAGAGCCCCAGGTACAATGTCCAGCAAAACGAAGAAAGGCCACTATGTGAAACCCCAGAGAGCTGCTACCGGCGGCAAAAAATGGGCAGAGCAACTGATGCTACTATTACTTTTGTGCAGTAGGCTTCTTTTAAGCTTTACAAAATCCAGACGTTTGCACCCACACTTCTCTCTGTTCAGGAAAATGGGAGGCACAATCACAGTGGGGAAAAAACAACCCACATTGAAACAGCAATTTAAACAGGAGATTTGGGTCAAGAGATGAAGGAAATGCTTGTGTAAATAAGTGTGTCATCAGAAGTGGGTGGAATGCCAACACATGGGGACTCTTGCATTTCAGCGTTCCACAACACTGGTACCGTTGGGGACATATCTGGGTTCAATACCATACACCTTGTGGGTTCAGCCTGCACATTCAATAAAATCCAGACTTCAGAGCTCAGCAAAACAGGATGTTTATTTAGGCTTTGCAAGGCCAATATGCCACAACCTCAGCAACCAGCAAGTATTGAGGGTGTGACACACACAAGCATATCAAACAGCAGTATTTATACACTTTTCAAATAAGTGAAGAGGCAGTTCATCACGAGGCATAGCTACAAGCACAAGGCATGGCAATGAGCTCCCTTATCTATTCATTCTGGCCTCCTGTTTGTCCAAGGATATGCAAAAGGCCCCTGTGTATATTCCCTCTCTGTCCCTTTCTCATGGTGTCTTCGAAAAATAATCCTTCCCTAATGCCCCTGACATTCTAACCCTCACTTGCTCAGTCCCTCTCACACGTTGCAATTTTCATTCTATAATTTCAATAATTTCTCTGGCAAGGCCATTGTCCATTGTTGGTTGCCAACAGCGACTGACTGCAGCTCTCCACCATTATAAATAGCATTATGTACTCACACCTGGAAGAAGTCTCTTGAGCTGGGCTTCTCAGCCCCAGGACCAGATTCCCTTGAGAAATCAGCCCCATCTCCTCTCCAGCCAGCTTCCCATTGCTGACAATGAACTATGTGGGAGTTAAGTGGAGCTGAAAGTGTGGGGTAACCAGCCTCATATAACCAACATGCTTAAGTCTTATGAATGCGTGAAGGAATTAAGACCATAGAGCAAGCTGTCCTGCCAGGGATAGCTCACTTTGGAATCGATTAGGTTATCAAGCCTTTGTTCTCCTACCAGGGAAGTTCAATGTGTGAGGTCTTAGCTAAATGGAAAAGCACATGAATCTGACCTATGGAGAGTTTGTAAGTAAACCATTTTTAACTTACTAAACGTGTTATTTTTCTATGCCGGGGGAGAAGGGGAACTTTGGCTTAGAAGGGGGTATTTGAAAGGTCTAACCGCTTATATTTCCACCCTTTGCTTTGCTGCATATTTTGTAATTTTAAATCTCTACTGGGGCTCTCTCACCAAAGAGTACCATCCCCAAACTTGGGTCTTGCCATCCAGGAATTCTCCTTCTATACCTAGTTTTCTCTTGCTACCGACAGGAAGACTGTTAGGACCCAGGCCAGATATTTATTCCTTGAAGGCACTCCACTTCTGAAGAAGAGGGTGGGAGCCTGGGAGGTTGATAAGTCCCAAGAAGAGTACAGAAGGATTCAAACTTGTCTTGAGTCCTACTGTAGGTAGGACTATGATCTGGTAGAAAACACCACCCTCAGGTGAAGGGCTGTAAAAGAGGATTGGACAAATTTGTGGGATATAAGGCTAACTATTGATACTAGCAATGGTGGTTACGGACATCTGGATTGATGTTTTATCCGATTTTGCATTAAAGAGTGGGTTTTCCTTCGAAAGGAGCAGGCCAAGGGGGAAACCACTCGGACCCATGTTTTCTAGGCATGTGATAAGTGGAAGTGTGGATGAGCATAGGAAACCTGTTCTCAACACTCGTCTGCTAACAAGTCTTTTCTAAGTATGGTTTTTGGCTCGAGTTGTTGTACATTCCCTTAAGTATTCTCCTGGAAGCACTGCTTTGAGGGAAACCTTGATCAACTGCAATGCCAGATGGTCTTTGCTTACTTACAGGAGAGCAATTCTGTTTCGCCAAGTAGAGCACCAGTCATTGAGAGTAATCAGCTTGGCTTTCACAACTTCTTAAAGTGCCAAAAGCTTGCACGAAGCTGTGGAAGCTTGATGTCTCCACTGGCATCGTAGTATTGGGATGTTGTGGGTGGCAGGGGTGGTTGGTTGGAGAGAGAGAGATAGAAAGAGATGCTCATTCTGTTCTCTGCGCCTTTTGCCTCTCCTTCAGCTTCATTCAGAAGATGCTTCTCTGCCACAGCAAATGCTGATGCAGCTTCTGAGTCAATGCTGAGAGCGCCAGACATAACTCTCATTCATTGTCAACCATGGGGGGGGGGGGAGAAGGGAAAAATTTATGGCTTCCCAGCTGTTTTCCTTTCGTATGATCAGGTTCCTTTTGGAAGGAGCACCAGCAAATCTTTTTACAAGCTCGGTTTAGGAAGAGGGTGGAAATAGCAATGTACAGGGGAACAAAAACACCCCAACAGATATCAGAAGAGGTGAAAGGCCGGTGGGGGGGGTGTCTGTTTTGCAAAGACATTTGTAGCAGCAAAATGTACCACTATGGAACCAGTTAGATCGACAGCCAACGGTCAGGAGGTTCAACATCCGCTTGGGGGGGGGGGCTGCTGCTAAACAGTTACAAGACTCGGACCACAGTCTCATGACGTAAATTTGCATATGTACAGATGACTGGGCAATTAAGAATGAGGGTGGTGTGAGTGTGTGTGTGCCTTGAAAAGCACATGGAGATAAAAGAGTAAGTGAGGGAAGAGTGTCACCTTTGCAACTTCCTCATACTCTCCAAGCATCCCGATTTTCCATGGAGAGACACAAAATCACAAAAGCCATCCTGGCTTCTGATTTGATCCCAGAACATCCCTATTTTCCCCACCAGCGCCGAATTAAGAGAGGAGGATGAGCTGGCATTCATCCTGAGTGGTGGTGGCAGCGGCGGCAGCGGCGAGGGAGCATCCCACTGCCTCTTCATGGCTGACACTGCCAGCCTCCTCCCTTGGGCAGTTCATAGGGGCTGCTGGAGAGCAAGAGAGGCTAAGCCCTGCACGATGAGCCAGCTCTGAGGTGCAGGCAGAGGGCAGGACAACCCTGGGCAGGAAGAAAGGGGGAACAGAGCGGAGTCCAAGGAGTCTTGCTTTAAAGAAAAATAATGCCGAAAACATTTTTGTTTAGGCAAGCCTATCTTGACCCATGGAAGATGGACATGTGTTTTAAATCTGGTTATTAGTTTATCATTCATCTTTATAACAAAGTTTTTTAATTGTTGTTTTTTACTATTTCTAAATGGATAATTTCATTGCTTTATTCTTTTTGTAGATTGCTTTGAGGGTTTATTTGTTTTTAACAGTCAAGCAGTAAATAAATATATTGTAGGCTGCTATTTGAAGTTCCCCTGAAGTTTTCGAAAGCTGGTGAGGATGTGGAAGGGCTGCGTGCAGCCCAGGTCACCTCCCCCAAACCACGTGCATGTTGAACTCACCGCAAAGCCCGCTGGAACATGGCCACGCTCTGTTCATGCTTCCAGGCCCATTCATTACCTTTCACCCTGAAGTACCTGAATTAGATTATACAACATGCAGTCTTTTGCACTGAACAGGAAATCAGATGGATTTAGAGAAACATTCTGAGATACACCAACACATATATATACATATATAACTCTGCATGAGAAAGACAGAGGGAGATAACACTGAAATAGGATATAAATGAATGAAATCCTAAGGGTGGCAGGAGTTCTCCATTAGCAAGCTGTGGTTTGGTTTAAAAGACAGTAGTGAACACAGACAAGCACCTGAGATCCCTGTAAAGTTCAATCACTTTGATGACAAGTTCCCCCAGGATCTAAAGTTGTATGCTTTGGTCAACTGCATTATCATCAAGGTGACCTTATTCTCTTCATTAATAGAGGGAAAACCTTGGAAGTTGAACCTCCAGCTATCTTCCAGCTCCATTACACGTTTCTACCAGCAGGGGTCAGATTACCTACTTCACATGACAATGTATGCTATATATATATATATATATATATATATATATATATATATATATATATATTGCTTAAAAGATTGCATCAC